TCTATTGGCATATGGGCTCCTATGCGGATGCCTCGACATGGCCTGTCTTTTAACTATGTTTAGTAATGATGGGCAGTGGCTAGCAGTGGAATCCAGGATGCGCATTTCGTCCTATTTGGGACTCGTCAGCTCGATTTACCTGCTTCCCAGTGAGTGATGTTGTTCCCACGGGGACTCGGGATGAAATGAGCATCCTGGATTCCACTGCTAGCCACTGTCCATCATTACTAAAAATAGAAGTATCTGTTTGTATGTGCGTAAATGTTATCGAAAATGTATGTGCCGTTCGCTGTTCATCGTATGAAAGTATAAAAAGCATGTTTAATTACAAACAATAATTGATCAATAGTGTTTTTTCCAAAGTTGAATTTGAAATGCTGACTTTTAGTGCTTTCTTAGTATTAATGGGCAGTGGTTAGCAGTGGAATCCAGGACGCACGTTTCGTCCTATTTGGGACTTGCCAGTTGAATATTCCTGGCTCCCAGTGGGGGATGTTGTCCCCACTAGGACCGAAACCCCCGGCCGGTCGCTTCAAACGCCAGAGCATTATTCACTAAGCTTATAAGTTACGATAGCCACATCTTGTGCGACGGGTATAGTTTTGATGTACTGTATCTCTGAGACATTTATACAGGACCTGAGTGTGGTTATTCAGTTGGCGTCACACAGCTATAGAAGTGAATCTTCAAATTTCAACTTGGGTATCCGCAGACCCAACGGCTAGCTCTAGTGAACTCGCTGGTGCAAGTATAGCATTGAGTTGCAAAGCAAAAAGTGCGCTTCTAGAATGGATACCAGTCAACACCCAACTGTGTGCTGTTCTAGTGAACGGATCTGTAAGAGCTAGTAAGAATCATGAGACTACCATATGCTTTTTCTTAATCTTCGCCTACTCATGCACCGACTGCAGTTCACATGATTCAAAGGATGAGTTTCATAAGAAGCTGCCAGTTTTGCTGCGAAGAGCAGAACGTTCAGCTGTAATTCTAATGGCAGGTGAGTTTGAAGCTCCAGTAAGGAAGCTGAGGCAATCGAAACGGTATTTGGGAAGCGTCTACAGACTGTCATATCAACGAACCAACAACGTTGATTGTCTTACAATTTTGTTCTGACAATCACTTGTTTCTGGTTAGCACTAACTTTACTCATATGGAGAGACACTTACATGGCGTTCACCGACTCCGAACCAACTAGGACCACAGATAGATCATACTGCTGTTGCCGTCATTGGAGAGGATTGCTGCTGTTTCTGGAGTACTAGTCTGGACTGCAATCACGCACCAGTAGGGTCTGGTGTATGTCTGCGCCTTACTGGCCACAGGAAACAGGAGGCAGTGGGGCGCACGCATGCTCTATGGGAAGATGAGGACTCCAAGTGCGCATTTATAACGGAGTTAGCTGAACATTTATCTGAACAGAACAGCAATACTATAGTGAGTGAAACCATCACCGAAAAGGATAAGACTCTCGTAACCTTCCAGGACTGGTGACTAGAACTTTGAGGAGAACACTTTGAAGCGCAGCTTAACTGGCCATCAGCAACACTTCAGTTGCCCAGTAACCAGCCTGAACCTGAATGGCATGCAGATGTTGGTCCCGAAACTGTCTTTGAAGCTGAGAAAGCTGTGTCGAACCTGAAACGATGCAAAGCAGCGGGGGCTGACACTTTGACACCTGAAGTTTACAAGCATGAAGGTAGGAAGTTGCTGATTAAATGATGAAGTTACTAGGTGCTGTATGGGAATCAGAGGTAAAGCCGTCAGACTGGTCTACTTCACTGACCATCCCAGTCCATAAGAAGGGACAGAAGTCTTCTTGTGACAACCATAGGGGAGTTAGCTTGATTAATATAATATCCAAGATCCAAAGGTCCATTAACATGCAGTGCCTAAATAGAGCTCGAGAACGTCAAAGTCGAGAAAACCAGGTAGGTTTCAGACTTGGATTAGGGTGAATCGACCACATTTCTTCCCTCCAACAGGTCCTGAAACATACCCGTACCCACGGGCCAGTGGCAGACAATTCCCATATTTCTTGACCTCAAGGTGACATTTGACTCTGTTGACCGTGAGGTGGTGTGGCACTGTCTGACTGTGAAGGGAGTACCGAGCAAATATATGACGTTTATCAAAGCTCTCTACTGGAACTCACAAAACCGTATCAGGTATCATGGAGAGTTGTCTTCAGAAATGACGACAAATAGTGGTGTCCGCTGGGGATTTCCAATCTCACAGTTCTTATTTAACTTCGTCATCTGGTTCTGGGTTACTTGGAGCATGCAGACGATACTGTCTTGCTGGATGTGGACGCTGACAAATTTCAGCACTTCTGGATGTGTTGGGCAGAAATCTGAGCATGTCTGGCACGCGTCTCACTGACACCTGTCAAATGTAAGATGATGCTGCAGGACTTGTCTGCAACTACCCCTGTTTTAATTACAGGAAGTGAAGTGGAGAAATGCACCGACCACTTCACTTACTTGGGGAGTTGTGCAGCCCAAAGGAGCTGATTGTTGATGAAATCTCAACTGTTATACAGAAGGATCGTTTGGTGTTTGCCAACTTGTGTCATACGTGGTACCATCTGGTTAGATATCCGACTACCTATTGAAGGATGAGCATGCTGTGCTGCAGTCGCTTCGGTCCTGCTATGCGTGTGTTAGACGTGGCCGTTAAAGGTAGAAGACGTGAACCGATTTCCGGGTTTCAATCAGAGATGTCCTCGTAGGATTCCTTATTTTTGGTTGAATCACCGTGTGAGCAATTTCGAGGTCAGGCGAAGGGTATTAAAGAAGACGAATACGTTGGTTGATGAGGTTGTGAACTTTAGTCAACTGAGATAGTCTAAACATGCACTGCGCATGCCAAGCCGCTGCCTATATCGATGTGCCATGCTACGGGATGTTGGACTACATAGGGAAAAAGTTCAGGATGTCCAGACCAAGACCTGGAGCCAGTCGATGAAGTCCCTGGCTGTTCGCCTGAGCTTTGTGAGGAGACATAGACTGTCCGGTTGGGGGTCCTCGAGACGATAGGAATAATTGTTTGATAACTCTTGGTGACATGGGGGAAAATCGGTCATAATGGCGCAGATGTATTCACTCTCTGACGTCTTCCAAGTCGTGAATATTTATACTAACCTTTATATTCAGACTCTCTATTCTCTCACGCTACTTTATATACTTTGATAGCAATTCATTTCTATCCACCTGTTCTTTGTATAATACTATGAAGTGTGGCAACCTGAGCCGATGCACGTGTGTGCGAGGTTCTACGTTGATTTCGTCAGTCAGTCAGTTGGTAGGGGTAAAGACCAGTGGTCAGTTCTCAACTCTCTTATGGGAAGTCGGTAGAGAGTGGAGTGCCGGAGAGCACAGTCCTTTGTTACCTGCCACTTCTTACACATATGTTAACTGCAGAACATCACGAAATCCCAGATGGTTCTCTACGCTGGTGATGTAAACATCTGATAAGAAATTAGGAATGACGAGAATGTAAGTCCACTTCAGACAGACCTAAATAACTTTTTAAACCTGATCAGAGAAGTGGCTGATACTGATCAGTGCAGATAAATGTATGAGCATACACATGAAGCACATAGTTGGAAACACCTACGACTTCTCTACCCTCATTACTGACCCACAACGACCTAGGAATCTCTCTGAGTTATGACTAAAAGACCACGCCGCACTGTCGGTTGGTCGAAGTTTGGAGTTTCGGAAACATTTGCACACTACTCAGAACGTTTACAAAAATAAATGGTGATATGTTCGCCATTCCTAGTACACGGACAGAAAATCCTTGTGTGAGAGGTGATTCAGACCATCTGGAAAGAGTTCAGAGGGCAACCACCTGCATGATCCCAACGACTGCTAGTCTGACCTATGAAGATCAGCTTAAGGAGGTACACCTCTTATCTTCATGAAATAGCAGACACAGTAGAGATCTTATGATGCTATTAAGGCTTTTAAGACATGACATTGGACCTGATGTATCTCCTCTTTTCCTTTCCACTAGGTCAGGACACCTCAGAGGACATATCAGAAGAATCAAAAGCAAAGGACAAACGTAGTCTCCGTAAAGTACTGGTTTTCTTGTCGAGTAGTCAACCCCTTGAACAAACCTCAAGAAGTGGTGTCCGCTCCAAATGAGTCATTGAAAGGAGAACTGGAAAAGCACAGAGATTTACAGACAAAGGATTAATATAGCCTCATAGCCTTCCATCGTCAAACAACAAATCCGAATCTAATTCTTTATTTCTGAGAATGCCACAACAGCACACTTAGAGATTCTTGGTTTTTCTTATTGAGAAACCATGGGAACCTTCTCATCTTCGCCTATTTTTTGGACTAACAATAACATTTGACGGGTCTAATGCTTGAAAGCTTTGGGTTCTTGATTCAAGTCCGTAAAATGGTTGAAACCAATGAACCAAAACTTTACACAAAGAATCAGAATCGATCACATTGCCTTCATGTAATATTGTCATATATCTTTATTTCAATCAGCTTTTCTTTTTATTGTGCATACCTTCATGACTGCTGATACTATTATTCCGACTCCTCTGTCTTCTTTTTTATTGGCTTCACAAGTTATTGTTTTGATCTAAGGGTGTGACAACTTGTACTGTTGCAATCTGTCTGTCAGTTTCGCAAAACAATCATTTTAACAAGTTGGTTTGATACAGGGTGATGAATAACAGTGAAAAGGAATTCTGGGTCTGGGTATAGCTTGATCTAGTGGCCTCCGGATAAGGGTATCAAACGAATGACTATTTGAAATTAAAGAGTACTCAACGTTTTTTTTCCCACATGCTGACGTTTTTCAGCAACCTTATTTATATAAAACTGAAGAGGCATGGACTTCGTGTCAAGCATAGAACCCATTTTACACAGAGATAAGATAACTTCTGACTAATTAATGACTTCTGTTTGATAATGTAAGTTCAGCTACAAAGTGCTATAATGTAAAGGTTAATAGTAATAGTTCCCGTTACTCACCTGTTTTTCTGTAGAAGAAAATGTCTAGTCTCTAACAAGTTTAAACATTCTGGTATAATTCCAGCATTACACAACTCTATTTTACAATAATCTTCTGGAAGTCGATTGATTTGAAAGCCAATAATATTGGTAGTATCAGGTTGTATTCGAAAAAGTTTTAAATTACTTGAAAACCTTTTTATCCACTTCGGTGAATAAGCTGTCAGACTAAAAGTCGGCTCACTCAGTGATGCGAGTGAAGATAACTCATTGTTGAAAAGATGATCTATTTTAAATCTTGAATCACTTCTCCAATCTTTTATTGCTTCTTTTGTGTCAGCCGAAGTTGTCGTTTCAAGATATTTTGATTTGCGTAAATTACATTCTTTGCATGATATATCCACTGTTCTCCATTCAGCTTTTATCTGATTTTGCCGATCTAATAGTCTACGCGTGAATGCATAACTTCCAATATGTTCTGTTGTCAGTGTGCTTGCCGAATCACTTGGTACATCTTTAAGCTTTCTTAAATTTTTGAAATATCCCAATATTTGTTTTTCTTGATGAGGGATAGATCCACTATCTGGTGAATATTGTGGACAGTTGTCTTGCATAAATAATGCAGCAGAAATTATCTGTTTTTCAGAATGATGATATACATCCTCATTCCTTTGGTTAGGAGGTAAACGTTTAGGTAAATGATTAGCTTGTTGTGTTTTTTGTACAAACCTAAAGGATTTTAACTTTTGACTTTCATCGAGTGAGGTAGCAGTCTCTCCGTCTATTGGCACAGCACTATCAAATATTACTGGATCTGGGTGTTTTGAAGCTGTGTAAGACAAATGTCTTTGACCTATATTCCCACCTGAGTGAAGATAATCTTCAGTCAAGATTTCCGTGGTCATTATTTCTTGGTTTGATCTAATACTTTGCCACGTTTTTCTTTCCCCATAATTATCTGTGTTCACACTAAGATGATCGCTTTCACCCCCCATGCCTTCACCGACTAACGGTGAACCACTTGAGTTAGCAGTAGCTACTTGAATCATTTTTGTTTCTGTTCTCAGTAATTTTTGAGTATATGGACTAATTCTTTGTAATCGCCTTTTATCATTATATTTATATTCGTGATGGCTAGTTGTTCTCAGTTTATTTTCCTCATAACCGGCCGTAGTAGAATCCATATTATATTCTTCATCTAAATTGAAACTAATTTCGTTCACTTCAGTTACATTCAGTAATTGTGGTAGATTACCGAATTCGCAGTCGATTTCATCACACTTTTCATGTTCTCCATTCAGTGACAAAGTATAATTATCATTATGTTTAAATGAATGGTATTTCTTTTGTGCTACTAGATTCTTAATGCTTAACATTGAAGAGCGTAAGTAATTACTAGGATTTATCTTACTTGATGGGAACTTTATTGGACGAGGAGACTGGTTAATATTTTCAGTATATTCAACCGATTTATTGTTTCGCCTCTTTTTTCGATACATTCTCTTCATTATCCCATCACTACTATAATCATAATTACATTTTTGACAGGATTCACGATAGTGTGAATGAGCAGTTTTGCTTAAATCATCCACGGTGTGCTCCACTTCATCAAAAGGATATATAATTTCAGTAAACTCAGGTGCATTTCGGTGAATGAGACAACTTTGTGGTTTCAAACTGTAAGAACATTGTAGTCCCATCTGGCACTACTTTTGAATAAATAAGCTTAGGAAGAAGTTTATTTTATTTTATCCTCTCATCTACGACAATATGTTTCACATGGCTTTTTGTTGTATTTAGGTTTGCATTTGTTCAAGTGGTTTTCGTCCTACATAAATTCAACCTTGAAGTGTATTGATTATATCATCATGTGACCGCATTTTGACATTATAATATGCCTTTAGGGATCACAACAGTGCCAATTATCTTTTTACATGAATGATTCACTGCATCCCACGAGTTTCAAATGCACTTTTAGAATGGGTAATTTTTTGAAGCTGTCAGCCTATTTAAAAACGGCAATAAATCATACAACTGGATAAACGAAGGTATGACAAGATATTTCTATAGTTTCAAGAAATCATTAAATTTCGAGTTTGCCTTCTAAAAATATGCTTATACACTGGTTTACGCATAGGGTAATCGAATGTTACGGGACGTCTAAATGAAATTCACTAAAGTGTAAAAAAGATTGAAATTAATATGCAGTAACTTCCTGCGGATTTTCTAAACGTTTCTCACGTCTTGACATAATGCATTTCCAGTGTAGATAAGATGAATCAAGCTGATAGAAAATCTGGATGACAGCATTATTTGAGCCAGAATCTTGTGTATCAACAGCCTGACACTTTATTGATTGAGCTACGTGATCTATGTTTCAAGGAAGTTCCGTCGGATAATGAGATATTACCCAGCTGCTACTTGTACCCAGTAAATAATGCCACTTTACTGTTAATACATATAACAAAAGCCTCTAAGAGATATGGTTCAAGATAGATCTCATTAGCGCAGATGAATCCGGGAATTATTCTTATTTTAATCGCCGTACTGTATTTCTTTATTGTTCTCAATCAATCAATATCAACATAGGACCAGACATTACTGCGTAACGGTCCGAGTTGCCACACCTCATATCAGCACATCAGGTAAAAGGTAGTGAGGTGAAGGATGAAGATAAGTGAATGCAGTCAAAAGAAATATAAAGTACGAGAAGAAAGGAAAGAGGAGTGACAAAATGGTGAGATTCGGTATAGCGTTGTTAAGATGAGGATAATGTGTGTATACATCTGCGCCACTGACTTCGGTTCTGAGCCATATCACCTAGGGTCTCCAACCACTGGTTCCTCTTGTCCCGTGGACCCCAACCACCTAGTCTGCATCGTCCTACATGGCTTAAACCAACAGTCAGAGACTTCATACATTGGTGCCATGTTTTAGTCTGGCCACCTCGGGCCTTTTTCCAGCCTGAACCCACCTCAGCCAACATTGTGTGACGAGGCAATCGGTGACTAGGCATACGTAGTACGTGTCCCAACCATCTCAGTCGATGAAGGTTCACAACCTCGTCGACTGACTTACCTCTTCTCCCTAAAACTCTACACCTAACTTCTGCATTACTCACATGGTGACACCACGGAATACGTCCTATACTACGAAGGCAACGGTGGTCAAACACCTGAAGCCTCTTTATATCTTCCACTTTCAATGGCCATGTTTCACAGCCATACAGTAGAACAGAGCGGACTGCTGTGCAGTACACGCGACCCTTAATAGACAAACGAATATCACGGCGGCGCCATAGGTGGCGCAAATTGGCAAAAGCCAATCGAGCCTTTTGTATCCGTGCAGAAATCTCATCGGCAACTAACCCACCGGGTTGATCCTACTTCCCAGGTAAGTGAAGTGGTCAACACACTCAACCACTTCACTCTCTATTGTTAACCGCGGTACCGCTGAAGACCAGTCCTGGAGCAAAAATTTGCATTTGGGTGGTGAAAATCGCATCCCAAACATTCTCAAATTCCCACTCAAAGTGTTCAGAAGACTCTGCATCTTGTCAGCGTCTTCACCTAACAGGACTATGTCATCTGCATATTCTAGATCTAAGGAAAATTCACCTGTGATCCGGTCAACGTCTGTGTAATTAGGTGACGAGAGGGAAACCTCCATAAGAATATCTATGATAAAATTAAATAAGAATGGGGATAGTGGGCATCCTTGACGGACACCACTTGATGAGTATAGCTCCCTGGACAACTCACCATAGGCTCTAACATGCCCACAAGTGTTCGAGTAGAGAGCTTTCAATAAGGTGATGTACTTACTAGGCACGCCTTTCAGTGACAGACACTGCCATAAGACTTCTCGATCAACGGAGTCAAATGCCGCCTTCAGGTCGAGAAATACAGCTATTGTCGGGCGTCTGTAAGCATGCCTATGTTCCAGGACCTGGCGCAGTGTGAATATTTGGTCGATACATCCACGGCCAGGTCTAAAGCCTGCCTGGTTTTCTCGGGCTTGCTGTTCCCGAGCTCCACTCAGGCGTCGGAGAATTATAGAACTTAGGATCTTAGACACTATGTTTGTCAGGCTGATTCCTCTGTGGTTATCACAAGAGGACTTCTCGCCTTTCTTGAAGACTGGGATGATGAGTGACTTAGACCAGTCGGAGGGGATCGTATTTGATTCCCATATACTGGCTAACACTTCCGTTAGCCTGACTAAGAGAACTCTACCACCATTCTTGTATACCTCAGCAGGTAGTCCGTCTGGTCCTGCTGCCCTTCCTCGTTTCAGGCTACCTACCGCTTTCTCAACTTCTTCTAGTGTTGGGGGACCTGTCTCTATGTCCCATTCAGGGTCCGACTGGATAGCGGGCAGCGCAATGGTGGCCAGTTAAACTGTTCCTCGAAGTGTTCTGCCCATCGTCCCAGTCGTCTCCCCTGCGAGTGAATCGCAGATCCGTCCTTCTCCGCTATAACCTCACTAACTGTTGTTGACCATTTCCCCCCAGTCTCCTTAATAAGTCTAAATAACTGTCTACTGTTACCGATCGCCGCTGCCTTTTCCATCTCTTTAGCCTTCGCTGCCCACCACTGTTCACGATCGTTGCGCAGACTTTTCGTCAGTCTATTTTTAAGTTGCGCTCGCTCTTCATTGTACTCAGAGCCTGCAGGGATGCATTCACGTGCATCCATTAGTTTGGAAGAAGCTGCTGATATCCACTGGCTCTTTTTAGCCATTATTTTGGAGTCGGCTACAGTCTCCAGTGCTGCTTTTACAGTAGACTGAAGATGGCACCAAGCTTCTTCTGGATGAGTGACAGTCTTTTGTTCCGATAACTGCCTAGCCAACTTCTCACTGAACACGGCTTTGGTGTTTTCGTTGTCCAGCAGAACTCGTAGTGGTTTTGTTGCCAAATTTTTTCTACGTCCATTGAGACGCGTGCTCGGACCAACGCATGATCGCTGTCCAAACACGTACTCCAGAAGGAGCGGCAGTCTTCCACCGATCCTCTCCAGCGATGACTAATAGCAATGTGGTCTATCTGTGTCCATCGCTGAGTCGAGCTCGGTGGACGCCAGGTCAGACAGTGCCTTTCTTTATGTCTGAAATTGGTGCTGGCTAAAAATAGGCGGTTATCTGAGCATAGTTGTAATAGGCGATCACCGTTATCTGTACGTTCAGCTGGGATTCCGAAAGTGCCACCTAAGTGCCTTTCTGCCTCACTCAGTCTACCCACCTGTGCGTTGAGGTCACCTGCAACAACCACTACGTCCGAACGTTTGGCTTTCGAGAGGAGGTTAGACAGTTTATGGTAGAACTCGTCCTTCACTTCATCCGAACTGCAGTCAGTGGGTGCGTAAGCAGAGATTACAAAGAGACAACGGCGAGTCTCACTATTCCTTTTAGTTCTCACTGTGCCGTTCAGCCTCATAGCGCAGAGGCGACTATCAACTGGGATCCAGTCTAGTAGTGAGTTTTCTGCCCTGGTGCTTAATGCTATACCTACACCTGCAAGACCACGAGAGCTAGCTATCGAATCTCCAGAAACTCGAAGGGTGAATTTTGCAGATTCACCAGATTGGTCAGGAGAGGTCAGGTGAATAACCACACTTGGGTCCTGTATGCGTGTCTCACAAACACAGCACACATCCATGCCCGAGTTGCTAGAGTCTTTGCCAACGAAGCCTGTTGGCCAATTTGACGGAGGGTGCGGACATTGAAGGCTCCAATATGTAATTTGGAGCGTGGTTTAAGGAGACCAGGGATACTGTTCTGTGGACTCAGATCGTTGTCGAAGGCTGCAGAGGTAGGAGAAATTGAAGATGATGCAGCATCATTAATTAAGAGACGTGAAGGAAGATTAGAAGGTAATGATGGAGGAGGAGGATAGCAGTCAGAAGAAACTTGGGTGCTGACAGAGTTGTGAGGGCGGTTGACACTTCCCGGCTGCCCACACCGTGGAAGGCTATTTCTTCTTAAGGTACCTGAAAGAGATTTGTGTGACCGCAGAGCCCATCGGACATCTGCTTGAGGCCTGTCACACCCAGCCTTTTGAGTATGATTATTTTGAACTTTTGTATTTTTGGGGCCGGATGGTAGAAAGGAAACGACAAGTGAACCAACACCGCCGGCCCGGCAGACCGTGGGGCGTGGTGGAGTGTGTTATTTTTGGGGCCGACCTTTTCTAACCCCCCCTTCCACTGAGAAGGCAGCATCAGCATGGCACTGCTGGTCATCCAAGGGAAACACCTTACTGCTGTCACACCCCATCCAGCTAGCAGCAGTACGACTTCGCCCTCAGACCCCCATCATAGTGTAGCAATTTACACTACAACGGTAACTGCTTTTCGTCTAACCACTACCCAACAGACCTTTCTGGTATGGTAGGACCTCGAGGGAACAAGCGTTCCACCAGCATAGCTCGTTGGGTCATTGTGATATACAAGTCCGACCACTACGTCAAGGTAGCAGCTATCGGTCTATCTTTATTGTTCTACCCTATTCATCTCTTCTTATGACTTCTTAAGAATTTTGATCACTTTCCTCCTTATTTCTGTGCTTCATTTTGGTTGTATGGGGAGTGTTGGGGTTAGGAGAAGGTTACCAGTCTAGGAGAGCAAGTCGGTCTACGAAGTTGTGAACTTTCACCGATGGAGATGGCTTATACGTGTGCTGTACATATCAAGTCATTACAACAAAACCTTTAAAAATCTTTCCCACTTTCGTCTTTTTTTATCAGAGCCCCTTAATACACACTGTTTGTAGTTTTCAGTGTTTATGCATAAAGGTTATTTGACTGAAGGGAAACACAAGAAGAAGTC